CAGGCATAAGTTGACTTATGGTAAGTCGACTTATACAGACTGTTAAGTCGACTTACGTTCTGCTCTGGATTGTTGGTTTTTTGCTCTGCCAAGTCGACTTATCAGGTCTGATAAGTCGACTTACGATCTGTTCTCCAGTTGTTGTTTTTCGCTCTGCCAAGTCGACTTATGCAGACTGTTAAGTCGACTTATGACGGGTTTTTTGGAAAGTTAGAGTTCCTATTTGCAGTCTGTTTGGGTTTCTGTTTTGGTATAAATACCAATACGATTTGAGGGTTTTAGAGGAGCAAATCTGGGGATTTTGGAGCACAGAAAAGAGAGATCTTTCTGAGCTATTTGTTAGGGTTATTGGTTGAGAGTTTGAGAGATTTGTTGGTGAGATTAGTTGGTTCGTTTGAGTGATTTGTAATCTCAATTTGTACTCTCCTTCTCTATTAGTGAAAACCCACCCCCCCTTCTTGCCCCGTGGACGTAGGCAATTGCCGAACCACGTAAAACTTTGGTGTTTGTGTTTTGTTTGGTCTTTCTCTCGGCGTTTGTTGGTTTGGTTTCTCAAAGCATCATAGTTGGTTGTTTGTTTGGCTTCCGCGCCGTGCACAACAAGTGGTATCAGAGCTCGGGCTACGCTTGGGCTATTTGGAGGAGTAGATCGCTTTGGAAGTTCATCTAGGGCTTCGTTTGGTGATAAAGGTGGGATCTTTTTGGTAAAAATCTCGTCTTTTTCAGTTTGGATCTATTTCTCGTTTGTTTCCGCATTGGTTTGGTGGTGCCTTGAGGATTATGGCCGAGAAAGAAGGAGTTGTGGGCAGTACTTCCGGCGTGAAGACCGTCCAAAGCTTGAATATCCACTCAATGAAGATTGATGTGGAAAAGTTCAATGGCACAAACAATTTTGGACTTTGGCGATGCGAAGTCATGGATGCGCTCAACGCGCAAAATTTGGAAGATACATTGGAGTTGGTCGGGAAACCGGATAATATTGATGAAAAGGTTTGGAAAAAGATGAATCGAACGGCGTGTGGTGTGATTAGGTCTTGTCTCACTCAAGATCTAAAGTATGATGTGATCAATGAGACTTCTGCAAAGAAGATTTGGGAGATCCTTGAGAGCAAGTATTTGACCAAGAGTGTGGAGAATCGCTTGCATTTGAAGAGGAGGCTTTACCGCTTCCAGTTGAAGAAAGGAACCTCCATTGGTGATCACATGAACCACTACACGAAGCTTCTTGCGGATTTGACGAATGTAGATGTGGTGATTGAAGATGAGGACAAGGCGTTGTTGTTGTTGAGTTCCTTGCCCGACGAGGAATATGAGACCTTCGTTCTTACTCTTATTAATGGGAAGGCATCTCTTTCGTATAGTGAGGTCACCGCTGCACTTGTGAATTATCAGCTTCGAAAGAAGGATAAGGAGACTTCGTTTGAGCCGGTAGCGGGGGCGTTGGTCGCAAGAGCAAAGGGTCCAAACCGTAGTGGGAGGTCGCAGTCTAGAGGGGCACATCTTGGAGTTCGTAAGAATCAATGTGCCTTTTGCAAAGAAGATGGACATTGGAAAGCCGATTGCCCAAAGTTAGTTGATCGAGCCGGGAAGAATAAGGGAAAAGCTATTCAAGCTTCAGAGGCGAATGTTGTCAAGGCTAGTGGCAACGATTCAGATTCGGATTCTTCGGGCTACTCGTTATCTGCACTGCCGTCAGTTTGTGTTGCCTACTCTACAGAGTGGATATTGGATTCGGGTGCTACATACCACATTTGCCCTAGGAGGGATTGGTTCTCCAGCTTTCAGGAGTTGGAAAGAGGGGATTTCGTGCTCATGGGGAATGATCACAAATGCTCTATTGGTGGTATTGGTACTGTTCGGATCAGGATGAGTGACGGGGTGATTCGGGAGTTGGTTGGAGTGAGGTTCGTTCCTCAGTTGAAGAAGAACATCATTTCACTTGGAGCTTTGGAGGCAGCAGGCTATAGGGTGACCTTGGCGGATGCACGCTTGAAGGTTACATTTGGGTCCATGATTGTGATGAAGGGCGTCAGAAGGAGAAATTTGTATTATTTGCACGGAAGCACGGTGATTGATAGGGAAATGACGACTTCATCAGATTCGGCTAGACTGTGGCATTGTTTGGTGCTGGGGTATATGATTGGTAATACCGTGCATTGGTTGTTGAGGAGTGCTATGACCTGCAGATTGAAGTCCTGTGAGCACATTAGGATGAGCGAGACCGTGGTGGAGTTTGGCACTTCTATCCATCGAGCGAGGGGTCTTTTTGGAGGTGTTCAGTCAGGCATTTGGGGGCCTTCCAAGGAGGCATCATTGGGAGGTAATCGTATCTTGGTTTCCACAGTTGGTGATTGTTCTAGGCATTATTGGGTCGCGACCAGTTCCCGTTGGTGTAAAGTCCTAGAAGTCAACAACAATTGGAAGAAGTGTATTGGCAGAAAGGTAACTCATTGTTTCAGCTTTGGTAGGGGTCCTTTCTTGCGTTGGTGCCGAGCTCACGGCAATAGGAGACACTTCATTGGTGTGGAGACTTTGGGGCGACGAGATGAGATGACAGTTTCGATGGGTCGTTCCTTTCTGGAGGAGGATCGGCGTTTGATGTCGAGCATTGGCATTGGTGTGCAGGCTTCGACATATTTGGGTCATCTTATGCATAGGTCGCCGACTGCTGCATTAGGAGTTATTGGATCTGTTGGAGCTGCTTTAGATTTTGGGTTGCGTCGGATATTTGGATACCCAGCATTTGGTCACATCGTGGATGTGAGATTTGATCCGATTGCGCGTTTGGGTTTCGGAGGCTCAGTTGATTATCGTTTGGGAGCTTCTGATTTTGTTCTGAGCAGGTATGTCACTTTTGACTCTCGGCAGGTGGAGAGTGTTGATCAGGTCATTTGGATATCGCAGCAGGTGGAGAGTGATGCTACTCCACGTTGGGTGGAGATTACTCCACATACTCCAGATCATACTGCGTCATTTGGGATTCCAGCTAAGGTGACACAGGTTGGAGATCATTTGGTTTTGGATGCAGATGATGGATTGGTTTTGGATTCAGTTGCAGCTGGTAGATATAGTTTGGATATGGCCATTGGTTTACCTCAGGTGGAGGTGTTTGATTTGTCTCAATTTGGGGTCATTGGGAATACTATCAGTTGCAGATCGTTTGGTGATATTGGAGAAGAGTTGCAGACTTTTCTATTTGATTGAGGGCCTTTGGAGGCCGTTTGGCCTTGGGCAAGAGGATACGTAGGCAGTCAGTTTTGATGCAGCCGATTTGGTGAGCGACATCGATATTTGGGGTGAGTGTTCGCACTCCCGTTTGGGTCTCATTATGTGAGGCATTTGTTTGGTTGGTGTTGGCTCAGTTTTGGGAAAACTTCGCCAAGGTGGAGAATTGTGGAGAAATTTGGAAAATTCAGGTTTTTGCAGATTCTGTGTCATAAGTCGACTCATGCACAGGCATAAGTCGACTTATGGTAAGTCGACTTATACAGACTGTTAAGTCGACTTACGTTCTGCTCTGGATTGTTGGTTTTTTGCTCTGCCAAGTCGACTTATCAGGTCTGATAAGTCGACTTACGATCTGTTCTCCAGTTGTTGTTTTTCGCTCTGCCAAGTCGACTTATGCAGACTGTTAAGTCGACTTATGACGGGTTTTTTGGAAAGTTAGAGTTCCTATTTGCAGTCTGTTTGGGTTTCTGTTTTGGTATAAATACCAATACGATTTGAGGGTTTTAGAGGAGCAAATCTGGGGATTTTGGAGCACAGAAAAGAGAGATCTTTCTGAGCTATTTGTTAGGGTTATTGGTTGAGAGTTTGAGAGATTTGTTGGTGAGATTAGTTGGTTCGTTTGAGCGATTTGTAATCTCAATTTGTACTCTCCTTCTCTATTAGTGAAAACCCACCCCCCCTTCTTGTCCCGTGGACGTAGGCAATTGCCGAACCACGTAAAACTTTGGTGTTTGTGTTTTGTTTGGTCTTTCTCTCGGCGTTTGTTGGTTTGGTTTCTCAAAGCATCATAGTTGGTTGTTTGTTTGGCTTCCGCGCCGTGCACAACACTTATACTATCTCAACTTCCAAATAATATTCTGACCATCAATAAGTAATTGTTTATCTCATTTTTGAAAACATAATGTTCTGGTATCCTTGGGATCTAGTGAACATAATTTTATCAAACCAATTTCTAGGATAATTGTATGAGTTTTATTGTTAGCTAAATAAATCTATTAGATCATGTTGATAAAAATGGTATCACGTGTTTAATTTCTTTTGCGAACTTTCGTGATTCTATATATAGTTCTTCTGATATTCGTTGAAACAACTTGTTGGTACTTACGAGGATTCTATAGGAGGCATTGCCTCAAATTATTTGTTGTGCACGATAATGTCCTCCGTTTGTTAATCACAAGCAGATAGAATTAACATAGACATCTAATTAGTTTGATTATTTTATTAAATTAAAAGGAAGGAAAAATGGAATGCAAATGATCGCACATAGTTTTGTATTTGATAAATTGTTGGAATTCTCTGTCACCATGGGGCTAGGAGGTGGTGTATGGTCTCAGAATCATTTGTTGTAGACAAGGAACCAATGTCGTACAATAATACTCAAGTAATAGCAAGGAAGAAAAAAGAACTTGGAGTCTTGTAATGCCATCTTTTTGTACAATGTAAGTTTTCTATCAAGATTTTTCATGGTTGAGATGAATGATTTTAGAGAAATCTGTTTACAGTTTATTGTTCAAACAGAGTTTGATTCTCTCTATTCCCCCGCCGTTACGTTACGCAGGGGATGTTTGCTAGTCAATAGAGATAAGGAGAGCTATTTCTATTGGCTCGCTAAGATTTCTACTGGCTCTGAGTGTGCCAGCTATGCATCAGCTCAAAGACCCAATATTCATTAGCCAATGAAATGAAAGATAGATATTTCCCTTGATAAGATGACTGCCTTCTAATTCCATCACCTATATTCATTACGCCAGTATTTATACACCCTCTACAAGCATAGCATTCACATCTTCTATTCAGCTCTCTTCCACACGAGAACATTCTCCTCTGTATTAATGGCCTCCACAATGGCTCTCTCCTCCCCTTCAATGGCCGGCAAGGCGGTGAAGCTCACCCCCTCAGCAGCCTCTGAGCTCATGGGTAACGGCAGGGTTTCAATGCGCAAGAGCGTTTCCAAGGCCGCGTCTTCTGGCAGCCCTTGGTACGGTCCAGACCGTGTTAAATACCTGGGCCCATTCTCCGGTGAGCCCCCATCCTACCTCACTGGTGAATTCCCCGGTGACTACGGCTGGGACACCGCCGGGCTCTCTGCGGACCCCGAGACCTTCGCCAAGAACCGTGAGCTCGAAGTCATCCACTGCAGGTGGGCAATGCTCGGTGCTCTCGGCTGCGTCTTCCCTGAGCTTCTAGCCCGCAACGGTGTCAAATTCGGTGAGGCTGTCTGGTTCAAGGCCGGTGCTCAAATCTTCAGCGAGGGAGGTTTGGACTACTTGGGCAATCCTAGTCTTGTTCATGCTCAGAGCATTCTCGCAATTTGGGCCGCTCAGGTTGTTCTCATGGGGGCTGTTGAAGGATACAGAGTTGCCGGTGGGCCTCTTGGTGAGGTGGTCGATCCTTTGTACCCCGGCGGCAGCTTTGACCCATTGGGTCTCGCAGATGATCCAGAGGCTTTTGCTGAGCTGAAGGTGAAGGAGATCAAGAATGGTAGATTGGCCATGTTCTCGATGTTCGGATTCTTTGTTCAGGCGATTGTGACTGGAAAGGGACCTTTGGAAAACTTGGCTGATCACCTTGCTGATCCTGTCAACAACAATGCCTGGTCCTATGCTACCAACTTTGTTCCCGGAAAGTGAGGGGTTCACTTTTTTCCTCTGCAGCCACAATTACTTGCATATGTCTATCATGTATGGATTTTGGATGTTGAGGTTGTTGATGGTGTAAATTAATCTTGTTCAATAGAAATCTCTCTCTGATTGCAGAAATTGTAATCTGATCCTTTTGAACCTGGTCTGGGATATTTTCGTTCTGTTTTTCCTCAAAAACAAAATAAAAAAGGGTTACGAGAACTTTCTATCCTTTATGCTTGTAAATCAGAGAACTTACAAATCAGGCATTAGATAAAATTAGAAAAGATCAATGTCTTGTTTTTGAGGGAAGGAAAAGATCAGTGTCTGAGAAGCCTGAAGGATAGCCAAGAACTGAAAGTTAAACTGAAGTGAGAGTTTTCTTTATGTCAAGACTTTACACAACAATATGTCGCAAAAAGTTAACATTGTTCTTGTATTGTTATACTCTTTACAAAAGATTTAATTAATCCTATGATAAATAATTTAATGGCTAAACGATCTTCTAAATTGACGCATGTCAAGTCCTCCGACATCTCGTGCAATTTGACACAGTTGAGAAGCTAATATCAGAAAACATGAAATTGGTAGATACATTATGCAAGGAGCTCAATTTTATGATGTATGTATGATGACGAACTTTTGACTCTATTGGATTCGTTCGACAGACTTTTGATATAATCTGAGATAATTTTGCAACTAGTTTACTATAACAAATGTACATATTCATATTTACATGCGCTTCCTCATTTTACACGCACCAACTAATTAACTGCACTTTCAACTTGCGTAGGATTCAAGGGGATGACCTTGAGAAAAAAAAAATTTCCCTTCTCTACAATAATTGTAAACCGCATAATTCTTCTCCAGTACCCCCTCAGCATCATCATGCTAACACAGTCCCATCTCTTGATGCATCCATGCATTGCTGTTTGATGATTGCTTGTATGGAGAAGAACCAGAGGCCAAAACACAAGCATTTGCATTGAAATTTCTCAAGGAAGCAGTCAAAGGGCCCTTGGCTTATAGGACCAGTGATGGTTAGTGTTTCATTATTGTTCCATCACTGCTTGAGTAGAGGAGAAATTTATACTGGCACCATCACTGCTTATTATGTGAGTTCTCAATTCACGGAATTCTAAGCCATGCGTATAAACACTTAGATTGCTTACAGGACCAGTGATGGTTAATGTTTCATCATGCTTCCATCTTTCGTCACAAGGACCTACCCATGGTGCCATCAACTTCGAGTTCCTCAAAAATCTCAGTGCAATCGCATACACACTGGATTCCAATGGAGTCACTCAAGGGAAGGGCAACAGGGATTAGAAATTTCACTTGTGGAAACCGAGACACATAATGTATGCCACGAGAAATTCCCAGTCGTCATCATAAAAGAAACTTGAGTCACATGAACTGGGGGCCTTTTTAGCCAGGCCTTTTCACCCTGGTGAACGCCTTGTTGGGTTGTAGGATCCTTCATCAGAAACTCAAAGGATAAATATGGTGGTAAAATGAGCAAATATTAAGCATAAGCAACAAATTTTAACCATGGCTTCAAAACTCCTCATTTGACAAAATGGTTAAGTGAGGGGTTTAGAAGAGTTAATCCCTCTTAGCTTACCAAACACAAAAATTTACACAAGGTATAAAGTGAGATAAGCTGTCAAAAATACAAAAAGAATTTAGACTCGTTTAGCAAAGGGTTAAGTGAGAGGTTAAGGAGACTTAACCACTTCTTAACCTGCCAGACACAAAAAAATCTATATAAGGATTAAAGTGAGTTAACCCTCTATAATTTGCCAAACAAAAAATATATAGAAAGGTTAAGCAAACCCCTATAGAGGGATTAAAATGAGTTAATCTCTCAAAATGAGGGGTTTACTAATACTCTTATTTAGAAGGATTAAGAGCTAACCCCTCTAATATATAAAGAAAATAGTCAAAATTATTATTATTCCCAAACATTAAAAATGATCATAAGGGTTAAAATAAAACTTATGTAACAGATTAATAATTTAGTCTTTCGAATTATCGAATGTGCTAACTATGTTAATCCTCCTTCTTAATCCCTCTTCGTTAACCCCTTTCCAAACGGAGCCCAAGGAATTAAATGAGTTAACCCCTCAAAACGGATAAGTTAAGTTCATAAATAAATGGGTCATAATTCTTTTAATTCTCAAACGCAAAAAAAGAAAAAAAAAGATCCACAAGGATTAAGATAAACTAGCCTATGGATTAACAAATTTAGCCCTTTAAAGTAATTAATTAGTAAACTATATTAACCCTTCTTCTTAATCCCTTCTCCTTAAACCTTTGCCCAACAGGGGCATATCAGACCTTTTCAAAAAATTCTTTATCTCAACAGGCACTGATGATTTAACAAAATGATGAACAATTTGAAGATTTCTCTTCGTCGTGTTACTATGCCCAATTTCAAGCTTTCTATAACTCGCTGCTAGTTGGAGTTCTGATGATTCACATTAATATTTCAAACAATATTCTAAGATTTTAACATGGCAGAAGAGATGTAAAGCTACAAAACGCACCTAGGCTCTGATTTCGCACTGCCACGTCATGAGCCCCCCACTACTACAGCAAGAAAAAGGGGAAATTTCATGAAACTTATAAACCCTAAACCCCAGTGATTGCATGAACTTTAGCTATTGATCTCGGTCTGTTCGATTCGACGTTGGGCCCATTAAGGAGTTGGCGGCGGTGGAAATTCCGCGCCGGGACACCCAAGATCGGTGTTGGTAAATATTGTTTGGGTGAATTTACTCATACCCTCTCCAACAATTGTCTAATTGCCCAAGAATTGTCTAATTTAGCTATTGAGGAATTACATTTCTATCTTAATTGATAGTTTCCCCTTTTCGAGTCCAAGAAGATTTGATAGAATCAATGATAATTTGAGCGAGAGCTCCTTCTTAAATAGTCGTATCTTCATACCAGAAATCATACGTACACATAATACTTCTAATTGTTATTATTATTTTATCAAATACTGTAAAATGAAAAAAAAAAAAACTTGTACACTTTTGAGCATATGAGACCAAAATAAGAGAAATATGACTGCTAAAATGGTGCGTTATTATCAAAGATTGTATATTTGTACATATCAAACCTTACAAATGAAACTACATAATTGAATTTTATTACAAATACAATCAAATGAAATAAACATATTCATATCTACAAACACTACTAACACACCAACTACACAGCTTTCGTTTTAATTTGCAGAGCATTCAGGGGGGAGACCTTGAGGAAACCTCTTCACATCAGTACAATAGTTGTAAATCATATAATTCTTCTGCACCCATCTCAACTTCTTCATGCTTGCGGAGTCCATCTCTTGATACATCCATGCATTATTGCTTGAGGATGACTTGCATGAAGAAGAACCAGAGGCCACAACACAAGCATTGGCGTTGAAATTTTTGAAGGAAGCAGTGAAGGGTGCTTTGGTCCAATCTGTTTTTACTAGCCCACCTCTTGTGGCCCAGTCCTCAGCATCCCATAGGCTAGAGTAGAGCCTCATTGGTTGGTTCTTTGGATAAGGTAAACCAATTGATTCCCTGTTGTTGAACACTCTGATTGGAGTTCCGTCTACAGAGATGCTGCAAATGGACAAAATTGATGATGTTAGTATTAGAACCACATAGTCCCCTTTTTCTCCTCTTCATTATAACTTGTATTATAAGGTCAACCAGGGTACAAGAAATGTCTATTGTTTCTTACATGTACTCAAATTCTCTCTATGGTCAAGTTGGAAAATTTTCTTATGTTTATCTTTCCTGAGTTAACTTCTCTACATAGAAAGAAGATTCTTGCTGTATTTTTTTTCTTTTTCTAACTGCGATTTGCTAAGGTTTGATTGGTCCATAGTGTAGTTACACTAGTCATGTATGGTAGAACATTGATTTGATAGGTCCATAGGGTAATTAAACTAGTCATGTACCGTTGAATAGAGCTCATAGAGTCAAGTGGAATCACAAGACACTATTGAATTCCCCACTTTATATATTTTTTATTATTTTTATTGGTATTTATTATTTAGCATGTCACTAAAATTAGGGTAGAACACCATTAAAAAGGATAAATTGCGAAATTGTTAATGCAAATTTCAAATACAACCATGATAAATTATATAGTGATACCACTAGCTCAAGATCCCAGCTATGCCATTGGTTGAACATCATTAAAATTAGCGTAGCACACCATTAAAAGAGATACAATTGCAAAATTGCTAATGCAAAATTTAAATACAACCATGATAAATTATATAGTGATAGCACTGGGTCAAAATCCTACCATTGGTAGAACACCATAAGGAATAGAGAACTTACATAATTTGTTTAGGATTCCACAGAACAGAGTACGTATGAAAATCAGCTCTTGGATCAAACCAGAGATAGAACTGCTGCTCCCTGTTCCCCTTCCCTTGAGTAAACACGTTAGTGTGCAGAATATAAGGATCTCCACTAAGGTTTCCAAGGAACTCGAAATCAATCTCATCATGGGTTGGTCCTTGCGACGACAGCTGCAACATCCGAAATCTTACATCAGAACAATATATACAAAAACATTACTTTTGAATTTATAGTACTAAAGGATATAAATAGCTACGCACTCGTTATACAGAAAATGAACATGTAACTAATCCTAAAAATAATACTAGTTTTAAGACATTGAGACTTACATAGTAAGCCGTGACAGTGCCTGCAGAGTTTCCAGGGACTAATTTTATCTGCATATCAAAATTTCCGAACAAATACTCATTCTTAGTCTGAAACCCAGAGCCAGAGGTTTTATCAAGTGACAATGTGAGTAGCTGCCCATTGTTAAGAATCTTGCCTCGGCCATCGCCCCAACTAACATCGACATCTCTATAGAAGTTTCCTGCAGCGGCGATGATCGGAGAGAGAGAAGCTATCAATGCAAGTAGGAGAAAGAATGAAGCCATGGTTTTTCGTTTTTGAGCTGTGAATGAGTTGAGAAGTTTGATGGTATTGGGGGTATTTATAGTGTTTTTGGAGGTGGGGAGAGAGAGAGAGAGGAAAGAGGGTGGAAGATGAGCTGGATAAGTTGAATTCGGGATGGAGATTGGTAGTCTCTAATGATGGGTAGCAAACGTGGGGTCTTTTCTTTGTTTATTGGAATCAAAACGTGTGGCATGAGATTAGTATGCCAAAAAATAGGGGGATAGTTGTTTTTGAATGTAAAGTTGAAATCATAAAGGGGGTGTGATGTGGGTCTTTGAAGTAGGAACCTTTGCTTACACGAGCCAAGAATTCATGAACTCAGAGGAAGTAGTAAACGCGTTTCCTTTACTTTTCTTTTGATATCGTCTCTAGAAGTAGAGACTTAAAAGGAGAGAAGCCTCGGTTATTAATCTACAAGCTGTTTTATAATTTGGATAAAGAAAACTAATTATTGCCATCTTTTTGCTATTAAAGTGGTTTAAGCTTTAGTTTTCCAAACATTTAAGTGTAGGTTCGTATGCATTTTGGTATTTAAAAAGGGATTTGGATCCTCTCCACTATAAAAAAATAGTGGAGAGACTACTGCTTTTAATATCAATCGTTGATTATTTAGTAGGCGGTTATGATACAATCTAAATCTAACACTTACCATACCCCCGTGTATTGCACTCATTCCTAATTTGCACTACAAGATAAAATCACAACCATTAACTAGATAATCAATGGCCGTGATTATGTAGTGGTCCCTCCACTGTTTTTTTTGTAGTGGAGAGGATCCGAATCCTTTAAAAAGTCTAGTGACGGTTAGATGTTACGAGTTTATTCAATTGTTCAGGTTGTCAAGAAACTAAGAAGAAAATAAAAGGTAATTAAAAAGTCTAAACCTAATTTTTCTCAAAAATTCTATGGTATTACGCATGCAAGAAGTGATGTTTAAATGAGCCAACCCCACCACGGGTGGTCGTTTTCTTTCACCAACCTTAGGTCACCAACATTTCACTATTGATGTTGTTAAGTGAATATGTGAGTCTCTCCTCTTGCCAAGTTTTCAGAGTCACCCGTGACACTTAATTAATTGTTCGATATAAACTTTAGCCAAGTTCTTTGAATATCATCAGTTTTGAGCATATTGCAACCTTAATGATTATGACAGATTTGAGCACTAAGCTAATGCTAATCACCAAGAGTTCGTTAGATTAAATTAATTCTGATTTGGCTGTTGCATCAGTACATCTAAGATCTATAACACAGCCTGAATATTTATATTTTCTCGCTTCTTTAGACTATCAACGTATTTAATCACTAGGTGCTTTGTTCAGTTAGGTTCATTGTAGACATGATTCTAGGGGCTATGTGATTAATAACGAGGGCTGAATAATTCAAGCGTACGTAGTAATCATGTTAGTTAAAGATCAGTAAATAATATTTTGCTTAACCAACTACTTCTCTCAGACGCGCTCACCCGTGGACGGCTTACTAGTGGAGGTGGGAGATAGCTGTCGATATGAATGATCTGTGATCAAGTATGAAGTTTTATTATACGTAGAGGCTTATCCTTTGGGTCTGTTGGTCAATGCCATCGAGAAGGACCGCTTTTAAAAGTCAAATAATGTATGAGAGCTTACGTTCATGCCAAAGTAGTTGATGAATTAATAAGCCAAATAGTAAAACTAGGCTTGACCGGCTTTATCTTAACCAGGCTAAAATGGAAACATATAAGAATTGGTCGATAAAAGAACTAGTTTAGATGCTAGATTTTGAAGAAGAAAGAACTAGTTTAATTTCGACCCAACTTTTGAATTAAAATCAAGGTTTTGAATGAGGGTTTACCACTTAAAACAAGTTTTATGGAGCTGCCAAACACACCTAATAATGGAAGCATATTGTTTAGATAGGTTAATCACACAGGCCAATTGGTATCGTTGTTTTGAACTTACAACCCCTCCACTTTTATTATTGCAGATAAAAGCCTCTAGGGTTTGTCTTTTGTTTTTTTATACACCCTGAGACTCGCTAACTAATTTCAACCCGAGTACAATATCTCCATGTTGTGCGCGGCGGCCAAATTGTTGTGCTTCGAGGAACCAAACCAAAATGTCGAGATAAAAGACTAAACAATCCAAGATAACGACACAGACACAAACAACCAATTGTTACGTGGCTCGGCAAGTTGCCTACGTTCACGGGCCAAGAAGGGGATGAGTTTTTACGAATAGAGAAGAAAAATACAAACTGAGATTACAAATCACTTAAAACAACCAACTAATCTCACCAACAAAGCTCTAATTCTCTCCAAAATAAAACCCTAACCAATAGCTCAAAAAAAAATATCTTTTATGTGCTCCAAATATCCCCCAATCAATGCTTAATCAAAGCCCAATCAAAGCCAAAGAAACCCTAAAAACGTGTGCTCCAAATATCCCCCAATCAATGCTTAATCAAAGCCCAATCAAAGCCAAAGAAACCCTAAAAACGTATCTCTATTTATAACAAAACACAATCACTTAATCAAAGCCCAATCAAAGCCAAAGAAACCCTAAAAACGTATCTCTATTTATAACAAAACACAATCACAAACAGATTGGGATTCTAAAAAACGAGCTTGTCACACCCGGGGGTGACAGACACCACACCCCTGAAAACAGGACAGATTCTGTCACACCTGTGTGTGACAAACACCACACCAATATCAATAGGGACAGATTCTGCTACCTGGGTATGGCAGACACCACACTAGGGTGTGGTGGAGTCTGTCTTGCTTATTTTTTACGTTTTTCTCAAATTCCTTCGCCGTTTTCACAACTCTCCACCTCGACGAAGTTTTCCTAAAACTGAGCCGACACCAACCAAATCAAACGTCTCACTTGTTGCGTCCAGTATGAAGTGGAATAAAACCACGACAACAAACTCAATCCAAAACAAGTCGAGACCCAAACAAGAATGCGAACAAACTCCAAATGTCGGTATCAACTCACCAAATCGACTGCATCATAAATGACTGCCTACGTATCCTCTTGTCTAAGGAATCAAGCCTTCACGTAGTTCACCCAACGGCCTCCAAAGGCCCTCAATCATATAATACAAATTCTTCCTCCTGACGTCCTTCATCACAATAATGGATCCAAATATGACCTTCAAACATGCATTCTCTAAGGTCACCCTATAGCCTGCTGCCTCTAAAACTCCAAGTGAAATGATATTCTTTTTCAACTAAGGAATGAACCTCACTTCATCCAACTCTGGAATCACCACGTCACACATCCTAATCCAAATGGTACCGCTACTACCAATAAGGTATTCATGATCATTACCCATGAGCACGACATCCCCTCTTTCCAACTCCTAAAAGCTGGAGAACCAATCTCTCCTAAGGCAAATATGGTATGAAACACCCGAATCCAACATCCACTTTGTAGAGTCGGCAACACAAATTGACGATAGTGCAGATAATGAGTAGCCCAAAGAATCCGAATCTGAATTGTCGCCACTAGCCTTGACAACATTCACCTCTGAAGCTTGAGTAGCTTTCCCTTTATTCTTTCCGGCTCGATCTGTCAACTTTGGGCATTCGACTTTCTAATGTCCATCTTCTTTATAAAAGACACACTGATTCCTATGAACTCTAGGATGTGCCCCTCTAGACTGCGACATCCTATTTCGGTTTGGACTCTTTGCTCTTGCGGCCAATACCCCCGCTATCGGCTCAACTGAAGTCTCATTATCCTTTTTTCGAAGCTGATAATTCACAAGTGTAGCGGTGGCCTCACTATATAGAAAAGATTTCTTTTCATTAATAAGAATAAGAACGAAGTTTTCATATTCCTTGTCGGGTAAGGAACTCAACAACAATAACCCCGTATCCTCATCTTCAATCATAACATCTACATTCATTAAATCCGCAAGAAGCTTCATGTAGTGGTTCATGTGATCACCAATGGAGGTTCCTTTCTTAAATTGGAAGCGGTAAAATTTCCTCTTCAAATGCAAGCGATTCTCCACACTCTTGGTCAAATACTTGCTCTCAAGGATCTCCAAAATCTTCTTAGCCGAAGTCCCATTGATCACATCATATTTCAAATTTTGAGTCAAACAAGATCTAATCACACCACACGCCGTTCTATTCATCTTCTTCCAAACCTTTTCCTCAATGTCATTCGGTTTCCCATCTAACTCTATTGTATCCTTCAAATTTTGCGCGTTAAGCGCATCCAAGACTTCGCATCGCCAAAGTCCAAAATTGTTAGTGCCATTAAATTTTTCCACGTCTATTTTTATAGAGTGGAAATTCAAATTTTGGACGGTCTTCACGTCAGAAGTACCACCCATAACTCCTTCTTTGTCGGCCATAATTCTCAAAGCATCAATAAACCAATATGGAACAAATGAAGAATAGATCCAAACTAAAAAATAGAGATTTTTACCTCCAAATTAAAATCCTAACAAGAGCATCCGAAAGATCTCACCCCCACACAACGGTAGACAAGATCACAAATAGTAAAAATCCTACATTTATCACCGACTGAAGCCCTAGACGAACTTTCAAAGCGATCTACTCCTCAAAATAGCCCAAACGCAGCCCCAGCTCTGATACCACTTGTTGTGCGCGGCGGTTAAATTGTTGTGCTTCAAGGAACCAAACCAAAACGTCGAGATAGAAGGCTAAACAATCCAAGATAACGACACAAACACAAACAACTAATTTTTACGTGATTTGGCAAGTTACCTACGTTCACGGGGTAAGAAGGGGATGAGTTTTTACTAATAGAGAAGAAGAGTACAAACTGAGATTATAAATCACTCAAAACAACCAACTAATCTCATCAACAATTCTCTAATTCTCTCCAAAATAAAATCCTAACCAATAGCTCAAAAAAAATCTCTTTTTTGTGCTCCAAATATCCCCTAATCAATGCTTAATCAAAGCCCAATCAAAGCCAAGAAACCCTAAAAACGTGTCTTTATTTATAACAAAACACAATTCTAAACAGATTGAGATTCT